TGCTCCTCCACCTCCTCCCCCTTCTCCTCCTCCTCCTCCTCCTCCTCCTCCTCCTCCTCCTCCTCCTCCTCATCATCATCATCATCATCATCATCATCATCATCATCATCACCATCATCATCATCATCATCATCATCATCATCATCATCATCATCATCCTCATCCTCATCCTCATCTCATCATCATCATCATCATCATCATCATCATCATCATCATCATTATCAGCATCATCATCATCATCATCACATCATCATCATCATCATCATCATCATCATCATCATCATCATCATCATCATCATCATCATCATCATCATCATCATCATCATCATCATCATCATCATCATCATCATCATCGTCATCGTCATCATCATCAGCGGCCCGCGGGATTGCCACAGGCGAATACCGTGTTAGCTCTCCCGAGCATGGCACACCAACTCTGTCGGGCGCGTCGCGCCTTCTCTTTCGTTTCCGTTTCGGGCCCGACCCCGGGGCGCAGGTCCCCCATGCTCGGGATCGGGCCCGCTGCCGTCGGCAGGGCGACAGTCATGTCTGGCCAGGTGCCTTCGAAGGACAAGTTGCGATGCTGGCGGTGAGGTCTGCACCTCCTCCTCCTCCTCCTCCTCCTCCTCCTCCTCCTCCTCCTCTTCCTCTTCCTCCTCCTCGTCCTCCTCCTCCTCCGCCTCCGCCTCCGCCTCCGCCGCCTCCGCCGCCTCCTCCTCCTCCGCTGTCCAGCGCGGATCCTGAACCAGGGGTGCTGGCTCGCCTATACTCAGGATCGGGCTCCGATTCCTGCGGTCATGCAATCAGTCCAGTTGGCAAGGAGCCTTTAGAACGAATTGCGCTGCTGCAGCGGAGGTGTGTGCCGCCCGCTTGCCTCGGGTGTTGCGGCCCGCACTGGCGGCTATGCGGAAACTGAACCAGGCGTGTGGACTCCTACACGTGGGATCGGGCTCCGAGGCCAGCGGCTTGCAACATGTCCAGTTTGGGCTGGGCTCTGCCTTAGAGACGAGTTGCGAGCTGATGTAGAGGTGCTGTCCCTTCGCGCGTACGGCAGGCATGGCGCGAGACGCCGAGAAAGCCTATCGGTTCTGCTGGTCTGGCAATGCTAGACCCTCTGCGTTGGGCCTACGGCTTCTGAGGAGTTGCACTGCTGGCGCGTAGCTCACTGTAATCTGCTCGGGGGCCCGCTTCGAAGGATGTGGGCAAGTTCCGAGCGACAGCTGTCTCGAACATGGCTCGTCTCCGTCTGGCGCGCGGCGCCCTCTCATATTTGTTCGTGCGGTGCCGAACCAGGGGTGAAGGGCGGCCCTCACTCGGGATCGGACGCCGTCGCCATCGGCAGTGCAACAGTCGCGTCGCTGCAGGGTGCCGTTGGACGAGTTGCGCTGCCGATGGAGTGGTGCAGACACTCGCTTCTTTCTCTGGCGTGCGAGCACGCCGCCCAGTTCAATGTAGCTTGGCGCGCTTGGCGCGCCTTGGCCCTTCGCGTCAGTCTCGACGCAGGGGCGACCCGAGAGCGTGGCTCCACGCTCGGGTTCGTTCTCCGCAGGCCTGAGAAGCCTCCTCGTTGTGGGCGCGCTCACGAGGGCATAGTTGCTTCTCAGGTGCGGTGTGCAATCAGTCTGCGTACCAGTGCCTGTTCGGCTGCCGAAGCCTCGCTTGCGGCCGTGTGCGATGAGTTCCTCTGGTGCCTGGATCTGTCCTGCGCCTGCTTCGGCCGAGGCGTTGGCCAGGTCGGGGCACCCGAGGGAATCTGCGTTGTGCGCCGAGGCGCACGCGCCCGAGGATTGCCTGCGCAGGGCCAGGGGGAAACGCCTTGGGCCAAGGGGCAGTGCGAGCAGGGAGCGCATGTCCCCTTTCAGCCGCGTGGATCAGCATCATCATCATCATCAGCAGCATCATCATCATCATCAGCAGCAGCATCATCATCATCAGCATCATCATCAGCATCAGCATCAGCATCAGCATCAGCATCAGCAGCAGCAGCATCATCATCATCATCATCATCAACATCATCAGCATCATCATCATCATCATCATCTTCATCATCAGCAGCATCAGCACCAGCAGCATCATCAGCAGCAGCATCATCAACAGCAGCATCATTATCATCATCAACAGCATCATCATCAACAATACCATCATCATCATCATCATCATCAACATCGTCGTCATCGTCACCGTCACCGTCACCGTCATCCTCATAATAATCGCCATCATCATGATCCTCGCTATCATCGGCATCGTCATCTTCATCATCAGCATCACCACCACAACCACCACCATCATAACCACCATCAGCAACAATCCGCCGGCCCCCTTGTGGGGCCACCAGGCTGCGAGGGCGGGATTCGCAGTTTCCTGTACCAGTTGTAGCTTGTAGTTTCCAGTGTTACAGTTCTGCTTATTGCTGGTTACTGTAACTAGTTGATTGACCGCGCGAGGGGGGGGGAGGCCCAAACCGGCTTTTTAGCACCCCCTGGGCGCGTTGTCTGAATTGCTGGGGGGGCTCGAAATCGACACCCCTCACGCAGATCCGCGGGGTCAGGGTCCAAAAACACATGGGATTTGCCACATTTCTGAAATTCGGTGCCACCCCTCACGCAGATCCGCGGGGTCAGGGTCCCCAACACAGGGGGGATTTGCCACATTTCTGAAATTCGGTGCCACCCCTCACGCAGATCCGCGGGGTCAGGGTCCAAAAACACATGGGATTTGCCACATTTCTGAAATTCGGTGCCACCCCTCACGCAGATCCGCGGGGTCAGGGTCCAAAAACACATGGGATTTGCCACATTTCTGAAATTCGGTGCCACCCCTCACGCAGATCCGCGGGGTCAGGGTCCAAAAACACATGGATTTGCCACATTTCTGAAATTCGGTGCCACCCCTCACGCAGATCCGCGGGGTCAGGGTCCAAAAACACATGGGATTTGCCACATTTCTGAAATTCGGTGCCACCCCTCACGCAGATCCGCGGGGTCAGGGTCCAAAAACACACGGATTTGCCACATTTCTGAAATTCGGTGCCACCCCTCACGCAGATCCGCGGGGTCAGGGTCCAAAAACACATGGGATTTGCCACATTTCTGAAATTCGGTGCCACCCCTTACGCAGATCCGCGGGGTCAGGGTCCAAAAACAAAGGGGATTTGCCACATTTCTGAAATTCGGTACCACCCTTCACGCACATCCATCGCAAGGCGTGGTAACCCAAACTGCGAGAACTCCCTCGGCCCTTTAATCGCAAGGTGTGGTAACCAAGCCCGTAAACCATACACGTCTTACCAATCGCCAGGTGTGGTAACCCCTCTTGTGATCAGTTGGTTTTGCTGATTGCGAATCGGCTTCGCATGAAGTTTCGATACTGCTTCACGACAGCGCCAAGACCTCATGACTTAGCTCTTCCATGGCCCATTCTCCGAGAGAGGGGGCCGGCGGCAGGGGGCGAAGTCCTTACGGATAACCAATACCACCATAGGTTTCCCATCTTCATGGTCATCACCGTCATAATCATCATCAGCATCATCAGCATCGTCGTCATCGTCATCCTCATCATCGTCGAAATCGGCATCAACACCACCGGCATCAGCATCGCCGTCATCATCATCACCAGCATGAGCATCAGCATCAGCATCAGCACCAGCAGCATCATCATCATCCGCAGCATCATCACCATCAGCATCAATAACATCACCATCATCATCACCATCATCATCATCACCATCACCACCGTCACCATCACCATCACCATCACCACCATCATCTCTCATCGGTCCTCTCTCCACACTCCTCTCTCCTCTCTCTCTCCTCTCTCCTCTCTCCTCTCCGCCTCTCCTCCTCCTGCTTCTCCTCCTCCTCCTCCTCCTCCTCCTTCTCCTCCTCCTCCACTTCATCCTCCTTCTCCTCCTCAAACCCTTTTGCTTATAAATAACTCCTCCCTGTCGCACCCCGAGCCCAGTTGGAAGGGCGGATCAAGCCAGGTTGTTCGCCTGAGACTTGCCTACCATCTACGGTCCTCAAGCTCAAAAACTGGCAACGATCTCACAAATTCAGGACGGATCGCTTCCAAAGCGTGGCTCTCGCTGTAACGCAAAGCACATTTGATTATTTAACGTTCTCAGAGCTTCACGGACTGAGGGCGGGCCGTTTTCACATTGTGGCTTTCGCCTTAGCGCCAGGCACATTCGTCCTGCAAAATCGCAGGGGTTTCACGGGTTGCGGGCGGGCTGGTTTCAACATGTGGTTCTCGCACTAGGGCCGCGCACATTCAAGTCAAGCATTTGCCAGAGTCTCGCGGGTTGAGGGCGGCTCCTTTTCAAAATGCGGCTTTCGCCTTAGCGCCCCGCACACTCGTGTCAAACATTTGCGACAGTTTCACGGGCTCCCATGGCCAACGTACCAAGAATGGTGTTTTGGAGTCAAGGTTGTCAGGGCGCAACAGTTACGTTTGATTCGATGTGTTGATGTCCAAGGAACGGTGTCCTTGCACGAACCAGGACCGTCAAGACGCAACAGTCGATTTGAGTCGTGGCTTGGAGTCCCGAGAATGGTGTTCTGGCACGCTTCAGGTCAAACGGTTGTCTCCAAACGGTGCAGTTCCATCAGTAGAGATGAATCCTTGCGTTGATGAGTCTTGGGGTTACAGTGGTCCTCCTCCTCCTCCTACTCCTCCTCCTCCTCATCCTCCTCCTCATCATCAGCATCATCATCATGTCATCAACATCATCATCTTCAGCGACAGCAGCAGCATCATCAGCATCATCATCATCATCAGCAGCAGCATCAGCATCAGCAATATCATCAGCATCAGCATCAGCATCAGCATCAGCATCAGCATCAGCACCAGCATCAGCATCAGCATCATCATCATCATCAGCATCATCATCATCATCATCAGCAGCAGCAGCAGCAGCACCAGCAGCATCATCATCATCATCATCATCATCATCATCATCATCATCATCATCATCATCATCATCATCATCATCATCATCGAGCCTGTGCGCCGTGTTCTCGGACAGCCGCAGCGTTGGCGGCGTCCACTGCGACGTGCCTCCCCCTCCCCCTCTGGGGGACGGGAAGGAGAAGGAGGGGGAGGAGGAGGAGGAGGAGGAGGAGGAGGAGGAGGAGGAGGAGGAGGAGGAGGAGGAGGCGAAGGGCGTGAGGATGAGGAGGAGGCGGCGGCGGAGGAGGAGGAGGAGAGGAGGAATACGAGGAGGACGACGACGACGACGAGTAGGGCTTCGAGCCATCGTATGACACAACCCTCAACATTGAGGATTCGACGAGGAAACAGAAGACAAGAAGGAGGAAGAGGAGGAGCAGTGGAGAGAGGGTGCGGGTGACGGCGAGGAGAGCAGCAGCAGAAGTGGAAAGGTGAGGGGATCAGTAGTCGGATGGGAAAAAAAAGCAAAAAGGGAAGCGGATGGAGGAGGAGGCCCCCTGGTGGCCTGCAAGATGGACCAAGGTTACGGGACCCGCCTCCTAAGAGGACAGGGGGCTTCTCGGAAAGGGGCAGCCATTTGTCGTAAGTCCTGCTCTCCCCACTACTTCCAGGAGGTGGTTGACGACGATGACGATGAAACATCGAGGATCGAACATCGATGTTGTTGATGCAGCAGAAAGTGTTGCTTGCCTCTGGTGGCCTCTGGCGGCCTCCAGGGCAGAGGCTCCCAAAAGGCTGGCCTGATCCTGGACTCTCTTGCTTGTGGCTATCCGGTCTCTCCCACCATCCCTCCCTAGCCCCCCCTTCCTCTTAACCCTTACCTCCCCTCCCTGCTCCACCCCCCCTCCTTATCCCTCCCCGCCCCCGTTTCCCTCCCTCCCCCCCCTTCCCGCGCGCTGGCAGCAGCCGTCGCGAAGGGAGCCCCACCCCGCGCGATACACAGCCACGCAGGTCAAAGGGCCTCTGTCCGAGGGCTCGCAACGTCGCCGTCCGCGGGCGAAACCAAACAGCCTCCCTGCCCGCCATTGCCTCCCTCGGTTCCCCCTCCCTCCTCGCCCTCCCCTCACCTCCCCCTCCCCCTCCCCTCCCTCATCCCCCTGCCCTCCCCAAGACTATCCCGCCCCTCCTCCGTTCCCGCGCCGTCCCTCCCTCCCCTCACTTGACATGAAAGAAGCAGGTTCTGAGGGAAACGGGTCCTGAATCCCGAGGCGGTTCCCCCGGGGTTGGCTTTTCATCCTTAGTCGTGCCTCGACAAGATCTGGGGGCCAGTGGAAGGCCCAGGGAGGGCGAAGACGGCGAAAAACCTCGTGGAACCACATCCCCCAGGAACCCTCTTCGTCGTGGCGAAGCTTGCCACTGACGCAGACGAAGGGGAACGGGAGGAGGAGGATCGACGAGGAACGCTCGGCCGCCGCTTCCCCAGGACCCCTCTCCTGTCGCTGCGTTCCAGTAGTAGGTCTTGCCGGTCGACGGGTCCACCTTCGTCTCCCAGCCCGCCTCAAGGCCACCACAAACACAGGTTTTGATAAACCAAGACATTGGCGCGCCCGAGAAAGCCGCAGCCGTAGGCCGAAACACTCTCCACTCTTCTTTCTCTCCTCGTGGAATTGTTCGAAATCCTGGTTGGCAATGTCCTGGTTTCCGAACATTGTCAAGGGGGACGCCATTAGGGGGGTGGCCACCTCCTCGAGGCAATGCAATTTCCTCATATTTCCTCAAGGAAATGCGGCCCCCAGAACACTCCAGAGCTCCTTCCAAAAATGCCCAACAATCCGAAGGCATGCTCGAACTTGAATCGCGGAACCTCGATCCTGGAGGGCAACTGGTAAACTGTCTAGCGGTTGTGATCCCAGAAGGCTCGCAGGCCTTCTCACCCATTCCCCGCTCTCCCGCTCTGTCTCTCACGCCCGCTCTGCCGCTGCCATTTTTATCCAAATTAGGGCCCTTGGCCTCAGAGCTACGCACCTCGCCGCGCGAGTAAAGACGATCCAGCGATTATCTTCCATATCACAGTGGCAGCTTGGAGCGAGTCTCAGCTGCCTGGCGCCGCGCGCCATTCCATATTCAGCCAGCGACTACGCCTCTAACGCCTGCCTCTCCAACGACAGCGCCAGCGACGCCAGCATCAACGCCAACTTCTCCTACGACAGCGTCAGCGACGCCCGCATCAACGCCTACTTCTCCTACGCCAGTGTCAGCGACGCTAGCGACTACGCTTTCAACGCCTACTTCTCCTACGTCAGTGTCAGCGACGCTAGCGACTACGTCTTCAACGCCAGCTACTTCCCCTACGCCAGTGTCAGCGACGCTAGCGACTACGCTTTCAACGCCAGCTACTTCTCCTACGCCAGTGTCAGCGACGCTAGCTACTTCTCCTACGACGGTGTCAGCGACGCCAGCTACTTCTCCTTCGCCAGTGTCAGCGACGCTAGCTACTTCTCCTACGACGGCGTCAGCGACGTCAGCTACTTCTCCTTCAACGCCAGTGTCAGCGACGCGGCCTACTATTTCATCATCGGCAAGATGACAGCCAACTACGCGCACAGCGTCATTCCTACCTGGAACGGCGATCCATCAAAATGGAGAGATCACAAGCAGGAGGTTAAGCTCTGGAAGCTCAGTGAGAGCCTCGCCGCGGCGCACAGTCTCGCATCGAAGCTCGTGCTGAAGCTCAGCGGGACAGCCCGGGGCGCAGCACTTAGCATGACGGAGGCGCAGCTGCATCCTGCAGCCGCGGCGGACATCGAATACCCTGATGACAGGAAGCGAAATAGGAACCAGGTCGGCATTGAGAATGTGCCGCAGCACCTGGAGGCGAGCTTGGGTCAGCAGAAGCCCGCGCAGAAGGGCGAGACCCTCGAGAATTTTTCGAGTCGACTCAACATCGCCGACGCAGAGGTGAACGCACGACGGATTGGCTCATCCGCTTCGAGACAGGACTGCAGCAGCTACGCGAGAACGAGGTGGACCTCAACGCGCTGGACGACGCGGCGGGGTGGCTCCTGCTGCGCAAGGCCAGGCTCACGGCAGAGCGCCGCGAGCGCGTCGCGGGCAACATGCCCGACGAGCACTACGGCTACCAGCGCATCCGCGGGCTGCTGGTCAAGATGCCCCCGGACATCCATGCGTCAGAGCGCCGCGCTCCCCCGCCAAGGTCATGGACCAACCAATCGCACTCACAAGGCGGCTGGCGCAGCAACGTTTCCTCCAACCGCGGGGGGCGCTCCACCAACGTCGTCGACGAGCCGGACGACGAGAGCGACGAAGAGCAAGAGGAGGACGACGAGGACGAGGCCGACGCCCAGGACATCGTTCGCCAGGAGCTCAAGGCTTTCAGCGCCGAGCTCGAGTCCTCCAACGTGGACATATCCGAGCTGTTCGACGGCGACGACTCCGCCAAGGTCGCAGCTGCCGCAGCGGAACTTGCCGCTATTCCCGAGGCCATGGCCACCATCAGATCGGCCCGGGAGGCCCTCAAGGGCCGCGGCAAGGCGAAATCCGCCCCGCCCCGCCGCCCGACCAAGCTACAGAGCCGGGTCGACCAGCGCATGAGGAACACTTCTTGCTGGGACTGCGGCGAGACTGGACACTGGACAGGGGACAGGGAGTGCCCCACGCCAGGCGCTCGCAAGTTCGCGCCCAAGGACGGCAAGTCAAGGGGCGGTGGACGAGGAGGTCGCGGAGGCCGTCCTCAGCGCCAGGCGCACATCACCGAGCAGGTCCAGTCCGCGGACGAGGAGATCGCCCTGCACCCGCAGGGACCAGTCACGCCGCCCCCAGAGGCTTGCGTCTCGGAGCGGCTCATTCACCACCTGCCGAACGTGAACGTCGCGATCGGCAGTGACAAGCCCGTGGGCGAAGGCGTTGGCGCGGTCGACACCGCCTGCCTTTTCTGCGTCTCGGGCAAGAAGTGGTACGACAAGTACAAGGACATCCTCACGAGGATGGGGCTTGCCAACCAGATCCTCGAGGAGCGGAGGACGAGGTCTACAGGGTCGGCAACGGAGATACTCTCCCAAGCAAGCTGCGCGTCACCGCGCCGCTTGTGCTGCGCGGCCAGGCTGGCCGCATCGTGTTCAGCATCGTGGACGACGCTGGACAGCCCCACGCTGGGCCTGCTCATCGGCCGCGACTTCATCCAGCCTTCCACGATCGACATTTCTCTCTGGAAGGGCCAGATCCGAATCGGAAACGCCACCCTGATGCTCACCACGAGCGCAGCGGGCCACCCCGCAATCGAGTTGCAGCCAGAGGACTGGCAGGCCATTGAGGACGCCGGCATGGAGCAACCGCCCAGCGCGGCCAGCTCGTCCGGAAGGAAGCGACAGCTGGACAAGACCCTATAGAGGTCGAGAAAGCGCTCGACCGACGGGATCGGAAGACGAGAACGGGCGACCAGCGTACGGTCAATAATACTACCAGGACCAGCGCGCTGATCGACACTATCAACAACCTCGTCACGAAGAAGGAGCTGAACGTTCCGAGGCGCCTCCAGACTCGCCGACCGAAGGGGTCACGGCTGCTTTCGGCCGTAGCCTCAGCCCTTGTCTGCTGCCCCACCGCAGCTCCAGCCCCGAACCTCACGCTAGCGACGCTGCCGCAAACGACCAACCCCACGACGCGCGTGACCGAGCCCCTGCAGGACTGCATCGCCTGCGGCGAGACGACCTTCGAGGCCTGCAGCCACCAAGGGTTATGCTCGGACTGCGTCTTCGGCACGCCCATAACCCTGAGTCACGGTCAGGACGCCATCGCCAACAGCTGCCTCGGACCCGAGACCAAAATCGTGGAGGAGGAGCAGCTACGCGTGAGGGCGCTCACGAAGGGGACGAGGCCGAAGCTGATCGCCGGTATGCGCTCAGCATTCGTCACGAGCAAGAGCGGCATCCAGCCGCGCAAGATCGGCCAGGCCTCGATCACTAACCTGGCCAAGTCTACCACCAGATCCGCCCGACCTCTACAGAGAGCAGCACCGTGCTCTACGAGCGGTGCTGCAACCCGGACAGCAAGCTCAGCGCCGTCTGGAAGAAGAAGGGAGGAGCTGCTGTCAGGTGCGGTCTTCCAGGCTTCGACGTTTCCAAGCAGTTCGTGGCCCAGAAGCTGGAGGGCAGGATCCAGAAGAACCTTGCCGCAGGCAAAAGTGTGCGAGTTCACGCCGCGTTTCCTTGTCAGCCGTGGACATCGCTACAACGACTCGTCGTCAAGATCGACCCGAGCAAGATCCCCAAGTTAAAAGGGGATCGGGCCAAGTCCAAGCAGATGATCGGTCTGTTCCTGCAGCCGATGTCACGGCTGCGCAAGGAGTTCGGCGCCCAGCTCGCCGTCTCGTTCGAGTGGCCGAGGTGCTGCGACGGATGGGACCCCAACAAGAACGCCATCGCCACGCAGCTAAAGGAGCAGCTCCCGCGCGTCGTGGACTTCGACGGCTGCGCGTTCAACCTCAAGACGAAGATGGGTTCCACATCAAGAAGCAGTGGCGGATCATCACCGACCATTTCGGGTTCGACGACTCGCTCAGACGCTTCTGCAGCGGGGGACACCCCCACGCAAAGGCCCGCGGGAAAGACGCGAAGCGCAGCGAGAACTACACGACTGAGCTCGCGACGGTGCTAGCCGAGCAGCTGCGACGTCCGAACCGCCGACCTGCACCTACATCGGCGACGAGAAGGGCAGGCAGAAGGACGGTCCCAGCCGCCGCAGCCGCTCAGGAGCCAGCGCTCACGGCCGCGGAGGAGCGGACGCTACGGTCCGCCATCACGCAGTTCCACGTGAACACGGGGCACCCGTCCAACGATTCGCTTGCCCGCGCCATTCGCGTGACCAGTGGATCGCAAAGGTCCATTGACATGGCTCTCAACCTCTACTGCGAGGCTTGTGCAGCACATCAGCGACCACTACCACACTTGCCGGGTCGGATCAGACTGGACAGGGGCGTCAACGACTCCATCGGAGTGGACCTGTTCACCCTGGCCGACTACGCTGGCAACCAGCTGGTCGACTTAGACGTGGTCGACCTGGCCTCGGGTTTCACGACGTGCGGCACTGTCGCATCAAGGCGCCCATCGGTTGTTTTCGCTCGACTGTTGCAGATTTGGATCACGCCCTCCGGCGCGCCTCAGCGAGTCAAATTTGACGGGGGAGGCGAGTGCGAGCGAGAGTTCTCCAAGGAGCTTGAGGACATGGGTTGCCGCCTGAAGACGACATCTGCGGCGACGCCGCAGCAGCGCGCCACCGCGGAGCGACGCGGAGGGATGTGGAAGGCGCACGCGAGGAAGCTGATCGACCAGGGCAACGCCGACAGGCCGCCCCTGCACGAGCGCATCGTGTCCGACAAGCCGTTCTCGGAGAGGATCGCCATCATGAAGACCGCGCAGACCTCCATGCAGCACCTGAGGTTCAACCAGTCCCTGTCGAGGGCGCTGCTGGCCCGATCTCGGGCAAATGGAGCTCAGCACGCCAGCGACGTCTACCAGGCGGGCGACCAGGTGTGCTACTGGAGGGGCAACGGCAAGCCCAAGAGAGAATGGGCCTTGCAGTGGCACGGGCCCGCCGTCATCATCGGGTTCGAGGGCACCTCGAGCGTCTGGGTCAGCCACCGCCCCACGACCGCGAAGGTCAATCGTGAACACCTACGCCGCGCCACGGCCACGGCAATCGTCCCGCGGGGACAAGTGCTGAACGCGCTGAACGGCAACCAGCAGCCTGGACCTCCGCCAAGCGCCCCGCCAGGGACCTCCAGGCCCGCACCTCCCCCAGGCCCTGGTGGAGGCGGCGGCGGCGCAGGAGGCGGACCCCCTCCGCCCGACCCTGGCGAAGGAGGAGACCCTGCTGGACCTGTACCGCCAGACGCTGGCGACAGCGCGTTCCTTGACCTGTCGGGACCAACACCGCCGAAGCGCCCCCGAAGTGAAGGCCAGCCCCCCGCACCACCAGCGCTACCAGCACCCCGTCAGCAACAAGCCATCCAGCAACACAACTTCGGCAACATCGAGCACTCCGAAGCGAATCAGCGCGCTCATAAGCACGCCGAGCGGCTGGCACGCAGCCAATGAGATGGCGATCTCACAACCAGTGGAGGAGCGAGCGGCAGTGGAGGACCGGCCCCACCGCCTTCGGGAGGAGCCGCGCAGCAGCCCCCGCCGCTGCCACCGCCAGCGGAGCCGCCGCTGGCGCCGCCGCCGCCGCCAGCGGCCGCCGACCCGCCGGCGTCAGACTCAGGCGACGCTGCCGCTCTTGCAGCCGCCCCCGCCGCTGCTGCCGCAGATTTTCGACCTCCTGAACCTGCCCCCCAGGGCCCGGTCGACGACGACATCGAGCCCGACGGTTCGGACATGATTCGAGAATGGGCCAAGATTGCGGAGGAGCAAGCGCGCCAGGGGGCGATGTCGCGGCGCCCGCCGGACACCGAGAACCAGCGCGGCACCAAGACGCAGCGCCAAGTTCGACAGGAGAACGCACCAGTGGCACTGCAACGTGGCCGCCAGCACGAGCTCGACCCCTGCGAGCGCGCTGCCGAGCGCAAGGATCTCTCGGACGATCTGCCCAAGTGCTTCAAGAGGCCGAAGGACACGAACAAGGTCGACCTCTACCTAGACAACTACTTCCAGAAGCACACGGACGAGCTCTACGCAAGCGCACGACTCCGTGAGGCACTGCTCACGGGCAACGCGACCGCCAAGGAGCTCAAGTACGACACGCTGAGCGCCACCGAGAAGAAGAACATGGACGCTGCCATGAAGACCGAGTGGCCCAAGTGGACGGAGTTCGGCGCCTACAAGAAGCTCCCGCCCAAGGAGCTGAAGAGCTCCTGCGGCGCAACCCTAGCATCCGCCCTGTGGGCACACGCTGGGTGCTGACCAGCAAGGGCCAGAACGTCATGAGGGCCCGTCTGGTGGCGCAGGGTTGCCGGGAGAACAAGTCGCAGATCAGGGCGGACGCGCCTACGGGGTCCAGGGACGCGCTGTGCCTGACCCTGGCCGCTGCGGCCCAGAAGAACTGGGACATCTCGTCCTACGACGCGATGACGGCCTACCTGCAGTCGGGCAACACTGAGAGGCTACTGCCCCTGCGCATGCCGGCCAAGAACCTGCCGCCGGGGACCCAGCCTGGCGAGATCGCGATGGCCACAGGCGCGATCTACGGGACGCGCGACGCCGGGAGGAAGTGGTACCTCCACGCGCAGAAGGTCGTCGCCGAGCACGGCCTCGTGGAGAGCAAGCTCGAGAAGTGCCTCGACTACTTCTACGACGAAGGTGGGCTCGCCGCGGCGGTCCACTCACATGTGGACGACTTCCTTATCGCCCAGCGCAGCAAATCCACCAATTGGAAGACCACGATGGCATCGCTGGGGAAGAAGCTGCACCTCAAGCCGGTCGAAGGGGTCATGAATTACTGCGGACGTACGATTGCCGAGCTCGACGACGAGTTCCGCGTGACCCAGGCCACCGCCGCCGCGCAGGTGGACCACGTCGACCTGAAGGCCCAGAAGGGCCGAGGTGCTGAGGACCGACTCACCGCCACCGAGGTGACGAGCTACTGCCACACGCTCGGGCAGCTGCTGTGGCTAGCGGCGCAGACCCGGGTGGACATCGCCTGCCCGGTGAGCTTTGCAGCTCGCCGCACCAACGTCGCTACCGTGGCCGACGCGAAGACGCTCAACAAGACCGTCGCCTACGCGCACTCCACCGCGAACTTCGCGATCGTGCTCAAGCGCAAGCTCGTAGACCTGAAGACGGCCATCACCGCGTGCTTCAGCGACGCCGCGTTCGCCAACGTGGACGGCGTCAAGAGCCACTGGGCCATGGTGATGGGAATCACCCATCGCCCGCGTGACGTCGTCGGCGGCCGCTACGACTTGTGTCTGCCCGTCGCCTAGCACTCCGGCACAGTCAAGAGGTCGGTCAAGTCGACCCTCGCTGCCGAGGGCTATGCCACCCTCGAGGGATCGGAGACCAACATCTGGTTCCGACAGCTGCTGACCGAGGCCTACAACTCCAAGACGGCGCTCAAGCATATCGACGTGCTCGCCGACAAGCGCCCTGGGGAGATCTACAGCGACAGCAAGGGTCTCGTGACACACATCGCTTCAGATGTGGGCCAGTCGACCGACAAGCGGTTCCGCATCGTCGCCTCCATGATCAAGGAGGCCGTGCACCCCAACAGTGCGCTCAAGCTCAGATGGATCCCGACCTGGGCCATGGTCGCGGACGCCTTGACGAAGACGATGGAGGCGGGCGCCCTGCTGTCGTTTTTTCGGGGCCCGCAAGCAGACCTACGGGACCTGGCAGCCACACGCCGCCATGCTCGCCTCAGTCCTGTTCACCTGCCTCGGCAAGGTCAAGGGACAGCCTACGCCTACACCGACTCTGCCGGAGTACAGTTTTTACATCTGCCTGCTGACGTTCACGCTGGTCCTCGGCATGACTATCGGTTTCGGCATTTTCATGACGCTCTGGACGATCATGAGGCAGAACAACGCGATCGCCACCGAGGAGAGCGTCGTCGAGGCGAAAGCTATGGGCGAGCACCCTGGCTGGGACGGCCGCATGCTTGGCCGGCGTCGCAACATCTCACCTACCATCCCAGAGGACCGTGATCACGACGGTGACATCACGATGTCCCACGCGGACGTTTTCAGCAGTGCGCAGGCATCGAGTTCAGTAGCATCGGCTGCGATCCAACAGCCGCCGCCGCCACTGTTGCCGACAGAACCACCGCCTGCCAGCGCACCGCCATCACCATATACCGCAACATCAGCACGGGGATCTGGACGATCAAAATCAGCGAGATCTCAAGGAAGCTCGGCCCCTGCATCGCCAAGCGTCGTCACTGTGACGAGTTCATCGAGTTCCGTGTCAGCCACGTCAGCCAGTGTTGTATCGTGGAACGGTTCCTCACCGACAGTGCAGCCGAATGACATGCTCACGCGCGTGACCGGCATTCCCCATCATGATGTTTTCATCGGGCACACCCCGCACAGTGTCTACATCACCTGCAAGACCTGCAAGAAGCATGCGTCGTGGCTGCTCTGGCACTACCGTTGCAGCAACCCCGATTTCACGATCTTCCCGGAGAGCGTGATGAACGATCTCATGGGCCGCTGGTGGAAGCTCACAGGCAAAGACTGCTGGCGAGGACCCGACCTGATGGACAAACCGACGAAGCCAAAGAAGAAAAAGTGAACCCCGCTTGGTTTCCGGAAAGCAGGTTGGCCGATCGAACCGGCAAATATTCTGCTGCTCAGATTTCATACCCGGCTGCCCAACGTAAGTCCGCATTGCTGCTCAAATTTCATATTCGGCTATTCATACGTTAGTCAGCATTGCCGCTAAGATTATATACCCGGCTAAAGATTTATGTAAGTCCGCATTGCTGCTCAGAGTTGATACCTGGTGTAAAGATCTACACGAAATTCCGCCGATCGAAGCTTCATTCAGTGTGCACAGTTTTTATATGTGATCACGATCACATGTTTTAGGCTTCAGATCTTATCGCGATAAGATGGCTATTTTGGGTTTTGTCGCTTCGCGATCGAACTCTTGCCATTGCTAGCCTTGCTTTTTGGTCAAGCGCCGGCGGCGCTGAGCGCCGAGTATACCTTGAATCCGTGTCGAGCCGTTTGCTCGCCTTCTGCCAGCATGCCTCGCACTCCGCCCAATGAAAAGACATGCATTTATATGCTCGGCTGCTCTGACGCTTCAACCTCGAGCGCCCTCGCGCCGTGCAGGAAGAGTGTGATTCCAGAAGGCTCGCAGGCCTTCTCACCCATTCCCCGCTCTCCCGCTCTGTCTCTCATGCCCGCTCTGCCGCTGCCATTTTTATTCAAACTAGGGCCCTTGGCCTTAGAGCTACGCACCTCGCCGCGCGAGTAAAGAAGATCCAGCGATTACCTTCCATATCACAGTGGTGACCCCCTTGGCACTGCCCAAGGCTTAGTCGGGGGTCCCAAAACCGTGTGGTGACGGACCGCGCGGTGACCTCGAAATCCCAGGAGACCTCACCGCGCGGTCCATCACCGCACAGCCTTGGGATCTTGGAGGCCCCAGTCGCCCGAGACGTCCTCGGAGAACGACCCGAGTCCCAAAACCGTGCGGTGACCCCGAATCCTGAGGGGCAACGATGGGGGGGACCAGCTCCGATGGGGAAACGTCGACCTGGAATCGTCGATACGTCGCCGATAGATCAGCGATAGGCCCCCGATAGCGAGTCCGCGTGCTCCTGGGCGGGGTGGGCTACGGGACCCCTATCGGCGGTGAATGAGCGACTGCGGGTCGACGCACCCCCCCTGAGCCGATCCTGCATGCCGTTGCGCCTGAAATCCCGACTGACTCACCGCACCGCTCGGAGGCCCTGGGCTTAGAGGGCCCAACCCGCCGCCAGACCCGCGGCCGCCGGGGCGGCGGCCTCGGCCGCGGCAGGCGTGGCGGCGGCCGGCTGCTCCGCGGCGGCGGCGGGCTGCTCGTCGGCGACGCAACCCTCGCAGGGGGGCCACGACTGCTGACGGGGAAGGCGGTGTGGTAGACACATCCGTCACCGTGCCGCAAGGCACGAGTCCCCGGCCCCAAGTTCTCCAATTGTCTGGGGGTCCTGGCGTGCCTCCTGCGGTTCCCCGGCGTTTCCCGCTTGACTTGTTCGGAGTCACGAGCGCCCCGAGAGGCCACTGATTTACAACCAAGGCAAGGCGGCGGGATGGGCCGGAGACCAATAGATCCGCCGCCCCCTGCTGATTCATCACAGGGGTGCCTGGCGTGCTAGACGATTTCGAATTTGGTTTTGGTTCTTTTCGAAAAGAACTCCCCCTGGGGCTCCGGCGCGTCCCGTCGGGGTCCCGGGAAGGACCTCAATCTGAAAAAAATCCTCCATGACGGCTCAAGACGGCGCCAAGATAGCCACGTTGGCCCAAGATGGCCTCCAAGATGGTTCAAGATGGCCTCCAAGTCCTTCCAAGATGGTCCAAGACTGCCTCCAAGACGGCCCAAGAGAGCCCAAGAGACCTCCAAGTTCGTCCAAGAGGCCTCCAAGATGGCCCAAGACGACCCAAGAGGCCTCCAAGAGGTCCTCCAGGAGGGCCCGAAGAGGCCAAAATCATGGTTTTTCCCTGGGGCTTTGAAGGACTTTGACATTTGCTTCTTTTCGGCCGTCCGACGGCCCGATGCGGCCCAAGAGCCCCCAAAGATCGCCCACAGATCGCCCGAGAGGCCTCCAAGATAGCCCCAGAACGGCCCAAGAGGCCCCCAAGACGAACCCCAAGAGGGCCCCAAGACGGGCCAAGAGGCCTCCAAGACGCCCATGATGGCCTCCAAGACGGCCCCGAAGCGCCCCAAGAAGGCCCCAAGCTGGTTCAGAGAGGCCCCAAAGACAGCTTCCGACGGCGTCAGACGGGCCAGGAACCCACCAAGATGGCCGAAATTGGATCGAAGCTGACCCAAGAAGGCCCAAGAGGCCTCCAAGAGGGCCTCCAGGAAGGCCAGAAAAGGCCCAAAACACTGATTTCCCGCAGGTTTTTGACGGATTTTGACATGTGTTTCTTTTCGGCCTTCCGACGGCCCGAGACGGCCCAAGAGCCCCCAAAGATCGCCCACAGATCGCTCAAGAGGCCTCCAAGATGGCTCCAGAACGGCCCAAGAGGCCCCCAAGACGGCCCCAAGAGGCCCCCAAGACGGCCCAGGAGGCTTTTAAGACGCCCGAGATGGCCTCCAAGACGGCCCTGGAGCATTCCAAGAGAACCCCAAGTCGGCCCAAAGAGGCGCCCCAAACGGCTGCCGACGGCGTCAGACGCCAGGAGCCCACCAAGATGGCCGAAGATGCCCCTAAGATAGCCCAAGACGGCCCACGAGGCCTCCAAGAGGGCCTCCAGGAAAGCCGAAAAAGGCAAAAATCATTGGTGTCGGCCTTCCGTCGGCCCGAGACGGCCCAAGTACCCCCAAAGATCGCCCAAGAGACCCAAGAAGGCCCCAAGAGGTCCCCAAGAGGCCTCCAAGACGCTCAAGATGGCCTTCAAGACGGCCCAAGAGCCCTCCAAGACGTCCTCCGAGAAGGCCCGAAAGGGTCAAAATGGCCTCCAGACGGCCAAGATGACCTTCAAGATGCCCACGTGTTCCCCGAAGGCTTTCCAAACCGATTCGGGGAACACATGGCCCGATAGCTTTGCAGGTCTGGCCTCAACGTTCGGCCACATAGGCGCTTCCAAAAAGGCAGGGGGCGGCGGTGATTCGCCGTAGGCGTCTTCGATCCGCCGCCCCCTGTCGATTCATCGCAGGGGTGCCTGGCGTGCTAGACGATTTCGGTTTTGGTTCTTCTTCCAAAAGGGCTCCCCCTGGGGCTTCCGCCCGTCCCGCCGGGGTCCCGGGACGATCTTCAAGGAGCTCAATTCCCGAAAAATTCCTCCAAGACGGCTCAAGATGGCCTCATAGATGGCCACGTTGGCCCAAGATGGCCTCCAAGATGGTCCCAGATGGCCTCCAAGTCCGCCGAAGATGGTCCAAGACGGCCTCCAAGACGGCCTCAGAGAGTCGAATAACCCCACATTCGCCCAAGAAGCCTCCAAGATGCCTCCAAGACGGCCCAAGAGGCCTCCAAGAAGTCCTCCAGGAGGGCCCGAAGAGGCCAAAATCACAGATTGTCTTTCGAATTCTGAAGGATTTGGAACTTGCATCTTCTCGGCATTCCGACGGATCAAGACGGCCCCAGAGGCCCCCAAAATCGCCCCAAGATCGCCCGAGAGGCCTCCAAGAGGGCTCCTTGACGGCCCAAGAGGCCCCCAAGATGGCCCCAAGAGCGCACAAAGACGACGCAAGAGGCCTCCAAGACGCCCAAGATGGCCTCTAAGACGGCCCTGGAGCACCCAAGATGGCCCCAAGCCGGCTCAGAAAGGCCCCCCAAACGGCTTCCGACGGCGTCAGACGGGCCAGGAGCCCACCAAGATTGCCGAAGTTGGCTCGAAGCTGGCCCAAGACGGCCCAAGAGGCCTCCAAGAGGGCCTCCAGGAAGGCCAGAAAAGGCCCGAAACACGGATTCCCAATCGGTTTTTGACGGATTTTGACATTTGCTTCGTTTCGGCCGTCCGACGACCCGATACGGCCCAACAGCCCCCAAAGATCGCCCACAGATCGCTCAAGAGGCCTCCAAGATGGCTCCAGAACGGCCCAAGAGGCCCCCAAGACGGCCCCAAGAGGCCCCCAAGACGGCCCAGGAGGCTTTTAAGACGCCCAAGATGGCCTCCAAGACGGCCCTGGAGCATTCCAAGACGGCCCCAAGCCGGCTCACAGAGGCCCCCCAAACGGCTGCCGACGGCGTCAGACGGGCCAAGGGCCCACCAAGATGGCCGAAAATGGTACTAAGATGGCCCAAGACGGCCCACGAGGCTTCCAAGAGGGCCTCCAGGAAGACCCGAAAAGGCCCAGATCATTGATGTCCCATAAGTTGTTGAAGGATTGTGGCATTTGTTTTTTGTTCGGCCCTCCGACGGCCCGAGACGGCCCAAGTGCCCCCAAAGATCGCCCAAGAGGCCCAAGGCGGCCCGAAAAGGCCCCCAAGACGGCCCAAGAGGACTCCAAGACGCTCAAGATGGCCTCCAAGACGGCCCAGGAACCCTCCAAGACGTCCTCCACAAAAAAAACCGAAAAGGTCCAAATGGCCTCCAGGCGGCCAAGATGACCTTCAAAATGCCCGCGCGTTCCCCGAAGGCTTTCCAAACCGACTCGGGAGACGCATTCCAATAGGAAATTTGTTTTTTGATCTGCAGGGCGGGAGCGAGCCTCTTCCGCTAAAAGCTCCGCGGGACGCGCACAGCTTTAATTGACAGAGAGGGGGCGAGGGCGGGCGGGGCCTCACGCGGTCGAGAGAGGGCGGAGCCCGGGGATCAGGCGGCGCCGAACGGGACGCGCAGGAAAATGTACACCTTGGACAGGAGCCCGGTGGTGAAGTCCCAGGAGGAAAAGGGGCGGTGGTGCAGCCGCCAGCGGCGCTTCGCGAACACCAGCCTCACGTGCCGCGGGAGAGGACGCGCCACTTGACCAGGTCGACGCCCGAGAGGAAGAGGAGCACCACGAAGTAGGAGAGCAACGTTGCGCCACCAGAGTGATGACGCGTACCAGTCGCGGTAATCCACGCCACAGACATGGGGGCCCGCAGCCAGAGGCACGGCAGCCGGGCGAACCTTGAACTTGCCGTCGATGACCGACAGGATGCCGGCGCGCTGCAGGGAGAAGGCCTGCCCTGCGCCGGCAAGCGCGCTGCGCTGCCGATCCGCAGCGTCGAAGGCCGGGCCTGAGCCGCGCAGCGCCGAGAACAGCGGGGCCGCCGAGGCGGCAAGGAGCAGGCGCCCGGCACCGGGCCGGAGCCGCGCAGTGCCGGGCGCTGTCGCAATGAGAGGGGGGGGGGGGGGGGCAGCGAGCGGGGAGGGGAGAAGCGGGCAGGAAAAGAAAAGGCCAGCCCAGCGAGCCAGCCCCCGCTTCGGAGGAAGCACGCGGCCGGGTGGATCAGGGCACCCTGCGGGATCAGGAGGGACTAACAGTCCCAATGCCAGTTGAAAAAGGAGGGGGGAGGAGGAAGCGGACGCCGCCCTGCCGAGCAGGGAGTCGGGCGGCCCGGATCAGGTAGGCCCAGCGGATCAGGGGGACTAACAATCCCAAATCCAAGCTGGAAGCGGGGGGGAGACGGGGGACGGAAACCGAATGCGCGGCCCAGCCGCGAACGTGAGTGCCAATTCCCTGCGCCTGTATTGGACGTCCGAGCCCGCGGGCTACCGGGCTCCTGCGGACGGGCGCTCAGACCCCGCTCCGGGCGGATCAGGGCGGGCATCAGGGGGCACACGGCCCCAGGTCCAGTTGCGAAGGGGCGCCGGGGACAGGGGGGGATCAGGATGGACGCCTGGTCAGCGGCGCGCTGGCTGCACGCACTGGCCAAGGGCCTGCGTGGATCAGGAGATGCCGGGAGCGGCGCCCTGCGCGCCGACGGGGGCGCCCATCGCCCGAGCTGGTCAGCGCCTGGGGCGCTTCCCTGTCCAGTTGTCGGTGTACCCAAAACTGCGCGCCTGGCCATCTCCGCGCCCTTCCCCCTTGGTTACCTCCCTTTTCTGCTGGAACTCCTGCAACAGGGCGTTCAGTCCACGTAGACACCGGTGTTCCAGGCCCATGTCTCCACGCGATGGCGGCCGCTGGCCAAGTCCTCAAGAAACTTGTCGATCATCTTGGGTTGACAGCAGGTCGGGTCGAACATGACTTGGTCATTGGACTCGCCCTTGCCCTGATCCTCATACCTATGCCTGCACCACGAGTTCCAGGCTGCAGTGAAGTGGTAGCCTCCCTCGGCCTTCAGCCTCTTCAGGTGAGTGGCCGCCGTCTCGCGCGCGCGTCGTGGCCAGCTGACACGTCGGGCTTCCCAGGGGCAGATGGGATCAGGATGGCGGCGATCGCCCCTGTGCTAAGGGTTGCGTCGATCGCTCTGCTGGTGCCACGGGGCCCACCCTATGTTCC